CCCAGACAAACAATAACAGGGAGGCACAGCAGTGTAATTCCATCACTAATGAAGCCAGCTGTAAGGCCCCCTCAAGCATTGTATGCTCTTAACTTGAAAATAAAAAAGAAAGTTGCTACTGTGTGTTGACATCTTAGAGGAAATATCACCAAATGAATTGGGGTTATGAGAATATGCACAACCCCTTCTGGCTGTGGCCGCCTGTCATCCCTCTTATGCCATTGAGCCGAGGAGCTAAAAGTATTGGTTTGAGGGGCGATGGCTATGAATCTTTGTCCCTCTAAATGTACAGCATGAATAGCACCTTATGAACTTCATACAGCATAATGGTCTCACTAATGGAAGGTTCAAGTCTCTGGCACAGTGGATATTAAAGAGTCCATTCAGTAATCTATAATCATGTTTAGCATGACGTTTCTTCTCACTGAGCTAAAGTGTGAGAAATAAGCTTCATGCAATGCCCTGAAATTTTACCCTGCCCTCGGAGCAGAGAGTATTATAAATCTCACACAGCAGTGAGTGGGGAAGGGCGAGGTTGTGATTTCTGAACAGGCATGACTCCTTGGAAGTGAACAGTCCCTGGATTCGCAGACACAGGCCCTGATCCAGGAAAATACTTAAGCACATGCCTATGTCCCCTTAACTTCAGTAGGATTCAAGCATGTGTTTAAAGTTAACCATATGCTTAAATGTTCTGACCAAAGAAGCTTTTCTGAATCCGGGTCAGCCAGAAATCAAAGTGAAAAACGAGAAACAAACAAAAGCAGATGATGGGGAAACTAGCAGGTGAGTAGGAATTGGCATTGAGGAGCCATTTAGGGAGACCAGCTACAATGAAAAGATGTCACTCTTACTTTTCAATGTGTTTTATCAGCACATTGCTTAGCTTTGCTATAAAACCTGCACTGGCAAACATGAAGTCGGCACCGTCAGGCTGCGTTAATAGTTATTTTTTGTTTCTCGTTTCTATGGTTTCAGTAAATTGCTGAATAAAACAATTTACTTCTGCACACCCTTCTGGCACTTTGGAAGCAAAGTGGAATAAAACATACAACTTCTTTTGTTGTTGTTGTCAGTATCGAAGAGTATGATGCTATTTTTGATGTGATTAATGTATCACTGGTTCACAATTGTCCTGTAACTCTAGAAGTCTGGCTGGGAGCTTAAGTCAGATACCTTACTACTTGTTTTATCCTGGGAAAACGGTTCAGGAAGCTGATTTAATTTGTATTGACCACCCACTGGAGATGTGATCAGATGCGGTAATGGCACACAGCCTCCCTAAATGGTGTCCAGTTCCTTGCTAGCCAGCTGCAAAGATTTCCTGCCTGTGAAATTAAACTGCATCCTGAAGAAACATGCCTCTGTACTTTTTTTTTTCTTAAACATTAACTATTTAGGCCTCAATCCTGCAAAGAATTACTCATTGCAGCTACTCACATATGTAAAATTAACATGTGTAAGTTTTTGCAGGCTCAAAGCCTTAGAGTTTAAGGATATATTTGCTCTTACTACATTGGAACAGGTTTTTCGAGGCAACGGTTTGTGAAGCACTACCCTGACAAACCTTTCTGTATTTACACATCCGAGTCACCCTTGTTCTGTCAAAGGGGGGTGCCCATTGTTCTGATGGAGGTTGAGGTTAGAGAGAGTCCAGCTAGTGTAGAATCCATCCATACATTAATCTGTTAAATTTAGTAACTATCAGTAGCCTAGTTGCTCTCAGGATGTAGAATCTGTTCCATTTAAAAAAAAAAAATTGTTCTCTTCATTTGTTCTCTTCCAATTCAGCGCACACTACTGCTCAGTACAGTAGTGTTTGCTGACCCCAGCAATTCCTGTCTTGTAAATTCATGTCTTTTAATCTTAATTACGACTGAGAGACACTGCATACCTGCAGCAGGCCAGTATTTAAGGATAAGATATCAGGGAGGCATTGTCATTAATGACACAGTAATAATCAAGGGGTGAGGCATGTTGGGATGACTTCTTGTCCTTTGAACAAGTAGCCTTCAGGACTTTATGGGAATGTCCTGTTAAAATGTAGCTGGCAGAAACAAACTACAGCAGTGCAACAATTTCTTGATTTTTTTGGTACGGGGTGACCAGACATTGCTCACTGAGGGTCATGTTGTTAACTTGCTTTGAGAGATAAAGAGCCACCTCTTTGGGCTTCTGAAATACTGACTGATGCTTGTGGTATGAAAGTGGAGTTTTAGTACGATATTGGTTGTCTGGAGCTTTGAAAGTCATAAATGATTTAGACAGAAAATAGCTAGTGCTATGGATGAGATTAAGGGGCTGGATTTATGGCTTCTGTAGAACCTCTCTGTATTAACTGCCATAAAAGTGATACCTGCACTTGCTTGGCAAATAAAATTTGGATTTAACAGCTAAAAATAGCAAATTATGATGCTGAAAAAATTAGGCAAATCCCGGGTTTCAGAGTGGACATTTATCCTCAGCTGGCTCAGTAGCATGTGAGACCATCTTAATAATAGTCAGGATAGGATAGGCTGTTTTGAGGCAATAAGGTTTCCTTAGGCCACTTACTTTGGCTGAGATAAAACACCGCCATAAATGTAAAAATGTTTGTCTTATTTGAGAAAGAAACTTTGAAGTGGTGGGCATGATACTAGTAAGTATTGGGTATCTTTTATTGATTTTTCATTTTATTTTACCCAGCTTAATCTTTAATAGAGAGCTGCTGGACCGGTGAAGACTGCAGATCCTTGCAGGAGGTCCTCTGTCTTGGTCTCAGCAAAAGGCTGCTTGTATGAAGTTGTCTGTATTCTGCGTTGGCGGCCCCTTTTGGGCCACAGGGGAAGGAAGCCACAGTCTGGAATCTAGATCTCCATGGGCAGTCTTTGGCCCATTGGCCATATTTTGGACATTTAATTCCAGCAGATCTATAAATGTACCTCTTTGATTTTAAAACATAAATAAATAAGGTGACACGTTCTGATTTTCTTTGGTGGTGGTTGATTCTCAAATCCCACTTCACCCACTGTACCATGTATCTTGTCATTGTGTGTATTGACTGTTCTTATGCATCTTTCTCCAGTTTTAATCCTTGGCTTTTTCCCATGGGCTTGCTGGTTCAGTGTCTAGGATACTAGTCTAGGTCTTGGGAGACCTGGGTTTGATTCCCTGCTCTGTCACAAGCTTCCAGTGTGACCTTGGCTAAGTTACTTAACTTCTCTGTGCCTCTATCCCCCACCTGCGCAATGGGGATAATAGCACTGCACTACCTCATTATGTGAAATAAAGCGCTTTGAGATCTGCTGATGAAAAGCACTATATAAGAGCCTGGTGGTGACCTTGAGTAATTCACTTCTCCACTCTGTGATTCTATTCTTCTGGAATTTTTATACTGCCTTCATCACTGTAGTATGTGAGTACTTTCCAGTCATGCATTAAGTGATGGGAATAACATCTGCCATATGTTCGTTGTTTTTTCTCCTCATCTCCCCAGGGGGAGAATTACGTGCTCAGTGTAGTTTTTGTTTTGTAGGGATTTTTTTAAAAAACGTCTCCATGCTGCTTTTTGTTTGTATTGGAAAAGGCAGGTCAAAGAAATGTGCCTTGCACATGGAACGGGACATTGTGAGGGTTCAGTTGGTCCTTAGTTCCTGCTTCAGTTTTCCTGTCTGTAAACTGGAGGTAACATAACCTTACCTCCCTCAGAAGGGTGTTGAGCGGATTAATTATGGTTCATAAAGTGCTTTGAAGCTGTAAACTTCTGTATTAGTGCAGCAGTTGTTATTGATTGTAATAGCCCATGAAGCACTTGGAATATGGGACTTGTGTATTAAAGGTTTCACAAAAGTAAATTACACCTTGTTGCTATGGTAGCATTTTGCTTCCTTGTCTCTGGATGCAGCAGGATGAAAACTTAACCCTTGGAACTGTAGTTACCCAATTTACTGCATGGTTATGAAATGTATTTTGTCAATATTTTTAACTGGGAAAATGATATACTTAGGGGCAGATGCGCAGCTCACGTAAATTATCTTAGCTGCACTGATTTTAGCTGAGGCTTTGTCCCGTAAACTCTGCCACAAATAGTACAGGCCCCAATCCTGCCATCAGATCTGTGCTGGTGGACTTTTGGGTCTCTGCAGGGACCCACTGCAACCACTAAGCTCTAACACTTTTAACAGCTTCTTGTAATTTACATTTTCACTGGCACATAGTCACATCCCCTGGCGGGTGGGCACAGTATGAAAACCTTGTTAGGTAGACAGAGGGAACAAACGGGTTTTATGTAGGTCTTTTAGAGTTGTTAAAGCAAATTTAGCCCTGGTATAACATTACTGGCCTGATCTACACTAGAAAATTAGGTTGGTTTAACTACGTTAGTCAGGGGAGTGAAAAATCCACACCCTTGACCAGCATAATTAAACTGACCCTAAGATCCTGTGTAGACAGGCTAGGTCAGTGATTCTCAAACTTTTGTACTGGTGTTCTCTTTCAAATAGCAAGCCTCTGAGTGTGACCCCCCCCTTGTAAATGAAAAACACTTGTTTATATATTTAACACCATTGAAAATGCTGGAGGCAAAGCGGGGTTTGTGGTGGAGGCTGACAGCTCGCGACCCCCCATGTAATAACCTTGTGACCCCCTGAGGGGTCCTGACCCCCAGTTTGAGAACCTCTGGGCTAGGTCGACATAAGAATTCTTCTGTCGACCTAGCTACTGCCTCTCGGGGAGGTGGATTACCTACACCAATGAGAGAACCCCTCCCATTGGCGTAGATTTTGTGTACACTGAAGTTGGAGGAATAATACCAGGGGTGAACTTGTTTCACTCTGTTTTTAAACTGTTCCATGCTAAAGCTTAAAATAAAAATAACTGGGCATCCTTTATTTACACCCACGTATTACACAAGGGAAGACTAGCAGCAAAGAAAGCAGTGCCTCCCTTTGCTTCTGCTAGGAGTGTCATTTTACGCCCCTGATCAAAGTGATCTGATGTGGTGCTTTTCTCTCTCTATGCAGGGCAAGAGCTGGATTGTGAAACGGAGTTATGAAGATTTCAGAGTCCTCGATAAACATCTCCACCTGTGTATCTATGATCGGCGTTTCTCTCAGCTCTCAGAGCTACCCCGCTCCGATGCCCTGAAGGACAGTCCAGAGGTAAAATGTGAACCCCGTTAGCAGAGAAAGCTCTGATCAGACTCGGAACTACTACAAATGAACAGGATGGTTTGGGTTTTCTTCACAGCTTTTAAAAAGCTAAAGTTTTTGGATTCTGAATTAGATTTTGGGAGTTGATTAGAAAAGTAATTGGAACAGCACATTCCTCCTCACCTTAGCAAAGGAAAGTGCTTTGCAAATTAGTATAAATGACTGCATTGCTAAATGCAGAATGGTTATGGAGAATGCAAAGAAAGGAAAATCAGACTTTTAATCTATGCTGTACTGTCAATTACTTAGATCAGAATTTTACTGTATGTTTGGAAACATTTTCAATGACATGAATATTTGCTGACTTAACTTCAACAGTGATGATTTGCTAGGAATATTGAGTGGTTAAAGCGCTGTAATGTTTTAAAGGAGGAAATAGTATTTGGGATAGTAAATTTATATCTATAAACCACAAATTGCTTTGGGTTTTATAAAAAAAAAATGTGCTAGTTACCTGTAAAAACTCCTTGGAACTAAAATCTGGTTGGTTAGAATACTTTTACCCTGGCCTTTTGTCAAAGCAGATAGTATTCCTCTTCAGATTTCCAACCTCATACTCAATCTTTGTTTATCATTTCAAGTGTTTGTGTCCAAAATCATCTGCTTGGAGGAAGCAATGCATCACTTTGGAAGATTGGGAGGGGAAAATAATATGTGTAGTTTGCAGGAGGTTATTTGAATCAAACAAGCATAACCAAACATCTCTGTTAAACCTCAGTGTCTGAGTGAAGAGCATGCATTACAGTGATGGACAATGCCTATTGCTTCATTTCACAGGTCACTTTTCCCTTAGGCCTGATGGCTGCAAGCACATGTCCCATTGCAAAGACATGAGTGCAGAAAAATCCTGACTATCAGTGTCAAGAGGCCAATATTGCCTGCCCATAAGCCCTGTGACTGAAAAGGGGGGAAATAAGAAAACTCAAAGCCATTTCAGGCATACAAAGCAAAATCTATTCTATCTGTAAATCTGGATCTATACTCCTTTAAAACCAAATGGGAAGAGAGTGGAGAAAGGGGGGACAATGGGTGAAATCATTGCTCCATTGGAGTCAGTGGTGAGTTTTTGACACTGCGTTCAGCGAGTCTAGGATTTCACCCAATATCTCATCAGGGAACGTACACTGGTTGGTTGATTTTGTATTGGATGCAAGATATTGCTGAAGACAGCGTAAAAATAATAATCTCCTAAATGTGACATGGGAATGGAGCAATTAAACAATAAATAAGTAGAATAACATGCTCCAAGGTTAATTTTGTGGCATTCTCATCCTGTAGGCATTGGCTCCGCTGGCCTTTCAAGACTCATTATTTTCTGCATCAGTTGCTGGCAGTGGAATTTGTACATTTTTTTTAAAGTAATTCCCAGCATTGGGAGGTTAATGTAGGCATTGGGGAGAGGAGGTGGGAATTACACTCTGCCTGTTGCAAGCTTGCCTCATGTAAAATATTGTGGAAATTACTTTAAAAAGGGCTCAGAAACTACATATTTAAAGACCAGTCTATAAAAATACTCTTGGCAGCAATTTGGAGTCAGTAAGAGCCTGGCCTAAGGAAGGATTGGAGGATCTACTATTTGTGATTAATAGTCCTGCAAAATGCCCCATATGGGTTAGACCACTGCTCCCACATAGAGCCCTTTTGACTTTGTTGGGGCTCCATGCAGGCTTAGAAAGGTCCATTGGGTGCAGCCAGCAGAATCCAGGACTGTTATCTGACAGCGTGGCGATACGAAGCCAAATTGTAGTCCCATTGACACTGATGGAGTGTTGACATTAGCTTCAGTGGGATCCAGGTTTTGAGATTTGTGTTTGGACCATTGTCTTTCCAACATACCTGTTGTAGGTTGTATAGCATGATGTTGGATACAAAGTATCTATGTGCACAGGAGATGCTGTGACATCTAACATACTGCCACACCTTGGAATGTGGTTTTGCAAGTGTGTGATGTCTCTCATTCTTTCTGATTTATTTTTATTTCAAATTAAACAGCTAAAACAGATGTTTTGGGTCAACAGTGTTTTATTTGGTCTTGGAGACTCCAGGCTGTCATGGAATTTCTTAATACTATCTCCATAGCTTAGATCAAAGTGACCCAACGAGGTCTTCTTTGGTGAAAGTCATTTTACATCGTCGTAAGGGCCAGTACTAAGGATGTTTTTTAAGCCCTCATTTATTGTTTGAAAAATGAATGTTTCACCACTCTGGCTTGCCACGTTCCAAAGCACTTTACATCTGTGGGGAAATGGCAGCCTCTGTTTTGTTTTACTCAATGGTTCTCAGATGCGTTGGATTGTCATAATTGAAATAATCTGTTTGGATGTGAAATGCATAGCAAACAGAGGACTTCAGGGCTTAAAATATTTTGGCGTTGGTAATTATTCTTCACTGAGAAACCTTTCTCCTCTTACATATATAGAAATGTGTAATTCCTGGAACAATATTTGCACTGATTTCTCTCCTTCTCCAAACCTTAGAATCCCATTGTATTAGGAACTAAATCAGTATCAGTGCAAACGGCTCATACCTCCCTCACCAGTTCATTTGCCAACAACTATGCCAGCTTGAAGAAAGGGGCTCCGCTTTTGTATATCAGCAGAATAATTATACTTGTTCTTTCTTTTCCTCTGCAGCTTGTCACCCAGATGCTGATGGCTTACCTGTCACGGCTCTCAGCCATCGCAGGCAACAAGATCAACTGTGGGCCTGCCCTCACATGGATGGAGGTAGGGTGCAGTGCACAGCACTGCTTTTCATGTCAACCACCCCATTCTCCGCAGCCTGCCTCTTGCGTAGTCCTTATACCTGTGCAAAGTGAGTGGAGAGAAGCTGTGTCGTCCAACTTTGTGGAATCACATCCCGGTAACATTTGACACCCACTTTGCACAAGTGGTGAGGACTGCACAAGGCAGGGGAGAATCAGACCCCATGTTAAGGATCAGGGATTTTTTCCTCCTATTCGGATTTTGTCAGCTGAAAGACATGAAAGTCTTACATTGTTTGATTACAAAGTAATAGAAGGTAGCAACTCAGATGATACAGCGATAGGGTCAATGTGCTACCTAGATAAGCCAAGTTCAGCAGTGGACTGAGACTGCAGGTCATAGGCTGCACTAGATGGCACACACCTCTTCCTGCACTCATTTCAGTGGGTATGTATTGCTCTTTAAAAGCTGCGGATGTTGATACCTTCTTTGCTATTTTTGGCTCTCTATTTTTTAAAGACCACTGCATCGAAACAGCCAATATTATCTACTCCGCTTTGCCATCTTTGCTGTTAAATGGCTCAACAGAGCTTGTGTTGTGCGCTCTCAGCGGTCCTGTTTATATACTATGAATTACAGCAGTAGCACTGCTTTCTCTGTTAATTGTTTTGTGCCACCTCGATCACTAGTACTTAAACCACCAGCCTTAGTGGGTAGAGGGAGGAGGAAAGAATGGGATTAAGCGATCAAGACCACCTGCTCCCTTTTGTCAACAGTCAGGCTGAGTAGGGGTGTATGTCCATCTTCCCTGGTGACATTACTATATCACACAGGAAGAACTGTTGTTAGACATCACAAAACTTGAGAAATGTACCAGCTAGCATGTTCATGTAGCTAAATTTTAAATGTTTGTAATTTGGGTGCGTGGATTCTTCTCAAATTCGTCAAAAAAAAAAAAGAAAAGAAAAGAAAACCCTTTAGGTTAAGATGAGGTGTGGCAGATTTTCAGCCCAAAAGGAGAAATGGTCAGCGACTTTTAGAGGTGAATGAAACTGGAGAATTTACTGGAAATTAAGGTTACAACTCAGCAATTATGTGCACTAGTGAAAGTGCTCTAATAAAACTTAAGTTCTCCTGAACGACCTTTCCAAATTAACTGAGACTCTTACAAAATTGCCTTTCAGCTGGCTTTCCAGATGGGGACAATAATCTGAGTTTTAAAAACTGACTGGGAAATGTAGCAGAGGGGAAAAAATCCAGCGGAACCATAATTTCTTACTGGAAGTTCAGACATTATAGAAACTGGCAGAGGAGTAGACTAGATTTTATATTTTCTCTGTAGCTTTGTCATCCTCATTGTCCCTGCTGTCATTAAATTCCCTGCTTGTAAAGCATTTTTGTCATCATTCCGTTATTTTTCTAAGTACTCGAAGAAAACGAATACAATGCCATGACAGAGTGGGGGGAGGCATACACATTCATTGCCATGTTAGTGTTCTACACAAAAAGGCACAAAGACTGCATCCTCAACAATGAATGGATGAGAAGGGGCGATGTGACCTTCTGAAACTTAATTTATTAACTGTCCTTCCTCTTCATTTCTATGTATTCTGTGCCCTACATTGTCCATCCATGCTGTTCTCTTCAGGGGGCCCCTAAGCTGTGCTGTCTTTGTGAATCAGCTTGAAATCCCTGCCACGCATGAGCACCAGTCAAATGTATTCGCAGAGCCACATGTCCTCAGCTGCCTCACAATCTACCGTGCTCTTTGTTGCAGATTGATAACAAGGGGAATCACCTGCTAGTCCATGAAGAATCATCCATTAACGTGCCTGCCATTGCGGCTGCCCATGTTATTAAGAGATACATTGCTCAGGCAGCAGATGAACTGTCCTTTGAGGTAAATAATTAGAGGAACATACATTCCTCATTGTCAAATGTAGAAGAGGAAATGCATCTGGTACGCTCTGTGTGTGTGTGTGTGTGTGTGTGTGTGTGTGTGTGTGTGTGAGAGAGAGAGAGAGAGGGAGTGAACGCAAAATAAGGGGACAGGGTTTCAAAAGAGCTTGGCATGTTGGGTGTATGTTGGGCTCTGCACTCTTTTGAAAATCCAGCCAGACGTGTCCCAGTGGGGCTGCTGGGTGCTGAGCCTTTCTGAAAATTGAGCCCCGATTGTAGGTGTTGATTGCTTGAAAATCTCTCTCTCCATTGGCTCTGCTGCCCATTGAGCTGTGCAAGTATGCTGTGACAGTTTGCTTGTATGCACTATTATGATGATTGGAGCATTGCACACAAATATAAAGGGCAACACCAGTCCCTGCCCACAAGGTGTTTCTCTGATTACAGCTTTAGTTGTGCCACTTTGCAGGTAATACAGATATTTAAGGAGTGTTGGGGGATGTATTCGGATTCACTACTCAGCACTCACTGCTATAAACAAACATAGAGTGAAGAAGATGTAAGTTAAATAGACTGTGTCCCTCTTAAGTTACAGTATATACAATTTAGGGCATAGACTATTTGGCAGTGTTTCAATATTAATAATAGCTGTAAAATGGTTTTCACTAATATAGCACATTCTGTTTATCAGTTTCAAAGCCCTGTACAAGCCAATAATTTAGGTTGGCAACAGCTATTGAGGAAGGTAAGTTTTTGTTACTAGTCTCATTTTGCAGATGGGAAACTGAGGCACAGCACACTTGCAGCTTGGCCAAGTTCACACAGTGAGCAATGTAGAGCTGGGATTAGACTACAGATCTCCAGTCTCCCAGTGTTGTGTTCTGACCCCTAAACCAGGAGACCATGCTCCCTTGCGATATTAAAAAGATTTTTATTGGCTAATAAACATTTTAAAGAAGCTAATTCCCGAGCCAGCCTTTTTTTTGTTTGTTTGTTTGTTTCTGAATAGTAAAGAAATCTGGCTAATTTCTGGCTTCTCTAGTTTCTGGGGAGGTAGTGTTGCCTCGTGGATAGAGCACTGGGTAGGGACTCAGGAGACCCAAATTCTGTTCCCAGCTCTGCCATTAACCTACTGGGTGACCTTGGGCAAGTCACTTCACCGCTCTGTGCTTCAGTTTCCCCACCTGTAAAATAGGAGTAATGATGCTTATCTCTTTGTGAAGCATTTTGAGATCTAGTGATGAAAAACACTATATGGGAGCTACGTTATCATTTATTATAGTATTCAGTGCAGAATTTACTCCGTTTCAGAAAAAAGTATCACACGCTGCGGGACACAAGTCACCCTCCCACCACACTAGTATAAGCATCTAGAATGAGTTCTGCCAGTGTCATTTGCAGCCATTGAAGCATCAGTGCCAACCATTTCTCTGGTTTTGTGTTCGTTCTTTTCGAGAACGGGTCCCAAAGGAATGAGAAAAGCTTCAGAAAGCCTCCTCAGCCACCTTGTCCCCTTTGGTCTCTTCCCATCCTGCTGCAGTAACATCACACTGCCTTATTACTTTGTTAGCTTCCTGATTCAGAGGAGAATGTCTTTGTCAGGTCAGGAGAACTGAGTGCAGTTTTTGACTTTGTGGGCATGAGGGGACGGCAGCAGTGAGAGATGCAAACACGTAGAGTACAAGGGGGAAAACGAGTTCAGCTGTGTGAGAACATTTCCCAAGGGATTTCGTGCTTCGGGCCTTATTTACCACAGTGCACACTGCACTGTTTAATCAGAACACACCTGCACCCATTGGCTACTTTTAAACAACTCCTTATGAATACATTAAAAGGGTGCATCTTGTAGGATTTATAATGCATTAAGTCTCATACTTCAGCGGTAGATTATACAAGGGTAGATACCTCAAGGCAGATAATGGCTTTAGGATTTTATGCAGTGCAGAAGAATGTGCAGTCACTTTAGCAGTGCCCTGTCTGTCTCCAGCTACATTGGGGGTGGTATTAATGTTGCAATTCTTTTCCAGGTGGGAGACATTGTGTCGGTTATTGACATGCCGCCAAAGGAGCTGACCACGTGGTGGAGGGGCAAACATGGATTTCAGGTATGCACCAGGTATTAGTTCTGAGAGAGCGACATGAATGGAGGTTTGAGAATCTATTCTTTGGTGCCTGTAGGATTTACACGGAACTGCCAATGCTGCTGGTATTGCTAATGCCCATGATTTTTGACAGGGCTACACAGTGTGTGTCCCTGTGTTGGCTCCCTGAGTGGGGAAGGTAAGGTGTAAGGTGACTTCCCCACAGTGAGCAGAGACTAGGAACAGTCCAGCTGGGAACGGAGGGATTGTTCCATAGGGGTAGTGGTGCCACCTTCTCGAAAGGGTCCAAGATAAGGATGGAACTATGACCCCATAGTCTCTCCACACTGTCTGGCAGAGCTGGTCTGTCATTGGTGGGGAGTCTACATTGCACCCTTTCAAAGACAATTGGAACTACTCCGCCAGCGCCAGGGGAATCCTGATTGAGTCCTCACATGTTGCCTTGTATTTTCCCATCATTTGGACCAATTAAATCTAGACTCGGAAAAGCAGTGCAGGGTGTCCTACAGGATTCAGAGTGATCCAGTGGATAAAGCATGGGACTGGGAGTCAGGAGACGTGGGTCCTTGCCCCAGCTCTATGTAACAGTGGGCAAGTCATTCAACCAATCAGTGTCCCGGTTTTTGTGTCTGTAACGGAGGTAATGATTTAATCTTGTCTGCCTTTGTAAAGTTGATGAAACATGCTACAGAAGTAATGCTTATTGTTTTGTTACTTTGAGGATGAGTTGTTGCCAGGCAAGTGGATGGGGCCAGATGGCTGATTTTTCTGATCTATGTGACGCTGAGAATTGTGTGCATAGTTACTCTTTGTTGACGGTAGAGCCTCTCGGTTTGTAGGAGAGATTTAGGCTGAATTTTCAAACTCCCCGGGAGTTAGGCATCCAAACCCTCTTGAAACTGAATGGGAGTTGGGTGACTAACACTCTTAGGGTATGTCTATATGAGAAACACTACAGCGGCACAGCTGCAGTGCTGTAGTGTAGATGCTCACTACCGAGATGGAAGGGGTTCTTCCATCATGATCATAAATCCACCTCTCCAAGAGGCAGTAGCTAGGTCAATAGAATAATACTTCCACTGACCTAGCGCTGTCTATACCAGGGCTTAGGTTGGCTTAACCACATCTCTCAGGGCTGTGAGTTTTCCACACTCCTGAGTGACATCGCTAGGTTGATCTACCATTTAGGTGTAGACCAGGCCTTAGACTCCCTTGAAAATTCCACCCTTACAGCAGAACTCCAGCCCTTGCTTTCCAAATGCTGGCACAACACTCCAGTGTGGACTTGCACAATATGAAATTAAGACTATGGGGTATGAAAAAGGAGAGACTTCGAAGGGGAAGAGAACTTGCTTCCCATCTTTTTGTGCTGCCTTCCTTTGAGTTTCATCCTGAAAGCTCCATTTTAAACAGGTGAGTCCTCCATCTTGCAGTTGTTTCACATTGTAAACTGGTGCAGTTCCCCCTTTGCTCTGAACAGAAGGCACACACGCTGAATAGGGTCAAAACTTACCCACTTCCTGAGGTTTGCATTTATTGTTAACTTAAATAACAACAAAATGTAAACACCAGCATAAGATTTCTCCCCAAGCTGGGCAGTTCATTGGGTTTTCCCTGCAAGGCCTTTCTAGTTCACACTGTCCCAGAGAGAGAGACTCTAGTCTAAACCCTCTCATAGGAATGAACAGGACACACCTCATCTAATCTCAGGGAGAATCAGCAAAAGTTCCCATTAGCTGTACACAGAGTTCAAACATCTGACATCAAGCTGACTCAGCAGATAAGCACTGCATCCCCATGAAAGGTCCTGGAAAATACACTCACACTCACTCTCTCTCTCTCTCTCTCTCTCTCACAATTGTGACCATATGCAAAGAGTATTGGTTATGAAAGGCTTAAATGAGTCATGAGTCAGAGACATATGTTTGCAGCTCAGGGCTCCCTTCCACTCCTCTCTCTACCCCATCCCTGCCAAAATCGGAATAAATCATATGGATTCTTATGTAGCACCCAGGTAAAAAGATATACTGCGGAGTAAACCCATGAGAATGGCTTCAGCTGTGTGCACATGCAGTCAGTTCACAGACACGAATAGCGGATCCCAACAGCTGCAGAAATATAGCATTATAGTTAAGGTTGATAGAATTAGGATTTTAATGGCACCTTCTGTCCTCAACATACCCCAGAGCTCTTCACGAAGCAGTGAATTAGACACTGACAGTGGAATTATTAGGCAGGCAAATGCAGCAGCTGTTACACATGCTCAGTAGCTTGCTCACAGCCGTGAAACCGGTTTACTGAGGGATGCAGTTTTCTGTAGGACCAAGCAGGCTTTAGTCTCATCTCTTTGCAATGTGCTGATAGAGATCTTTTATTTCCATCAAACACCATCTGAAATAAACGGTCACAAATCCTATAGCTGTACAAAGAAAAGGATATTTCTTTTTAAGTGTAAGACCTATTGGTATGAGTGTAGGAAAAAACAGTTTATTGAATTAGCACAGCTTTTTGACACTGCTGCCCACTACAGGGAAAAGAGAGGGGAAAAAATCTTATCCTGCTGTTGATATTGTAGGCCTAGAGGTGTGTTATGATCGGTGAAGAGTATTGTTGTAACATGCTACAAAAGAGTGTAGCAAAGCAAAACTGGCATTTGTAGAAGCTATGTTTAAACCATGTAACCTTTCCCATATTTACAGATAAGCAAACACTTTCAGTTTCCCATTTCAAATTAAAAACTCTGGTGAAAATAATGCTAATCTGTGTCCAAGTCATTTTAATTATGCAAATAAATCAGCGGAGATCCGTTGGCTCTTGCCAGTTCATTATGATTCTGTTCCCTGTAGGGTAATCACACTTTTTCAGAGATGTCTCTCTAATCTTACAAACTGTATGAAATACATAGTGATTGATTGTTTATTTCAAACTAAGATTTGCAAACTGGGTTTCACTTTAAATCTCCTTATTTGTTTTTTCAGAAATATTTTTAAGCAAATTGCCATTAGAACTGGTGGTAGCTGTCTTTGATCCCAGAGTCAAAAGGATCATAGAATCAGAGAATATCAGGGTTGGAAGGGACCTCAGGAGGTCATCTAGTCCAACCCCTGCTCAAAGCAGGACCAATCCCCAACTAAATCGTCCCAGCCAGGGCTTTGTCAAGCCTGACCTTAAAAACCTCTAAGGAAGGAGATTCCACCACCTCCCTAGGTAACCCATTCCAGTGCTTCACCACCCTCCTAGTGAAAAAGTTTTTCCTAATATCCAACCTAGACCTCCCCCACTGCAACTTGAGACCATTACTCCTTGTTCTGTCATCTGCTACCACTGAGAACAGTCTAGATCCATCCTCTTTGGAACCCCCTTTCAGGTAGTTGAAGCAGCTATCAAATCCCCTCTCATTCTTCTCTTCTGCAGACTAAACAATCCCAGTTCCCTCAGTCTCTCCTCATAAGTCATGTGCTCCAGCCCCCTAATCATTTTTGTTGCCCTCCGCTGGACTCTTTCCAATTTTTCCACATCCTTCTTGTAGTGTGGGGCCCAAAACTGGACATAGTACTCCAGATGAGGCCTCACCAATGTCGACTAGAGGGGAATGATCACGTCCCTCGATCTGCTGGCAATGCCCCTACTTATACAGCCCAAAATGTCGTTAGCCTTCTTGGCAACAAGGGCATGCTGTCGACTCATATCCAGCTTCTCGTCCACTGTAACCCCTAGGTCCTTTTCTGCAGAACTGCTTCCTAGCCATTCGGTCCCTAGTCTGTAGCAGTGCATGGGATTCTTCCATCCTAAGTGCAGGACTCTGCACTTGTCCTTGTTGAACCTCATCAGATTTCTTTTGGCCCAATCCTCTAATTTGTCTAGGTCCCTCTGTATCCTATCCCTACCCTCCAGCGTATCTACCACTCCTCCCAGTTTAGTGTCATCTGCAAATTTGCTGCGGGTGCAGTCCATGCCATCCTCCAGATCATTAATGAAGATATTGAACAAAACCGGCCCAGGACCGACCCTTGGGGCACTCCGCTTGATACCAGCTGCCAACTAGACACGGAGCCATTGATCACTACCCGTTGAGCCCGATGATTTAGCCAGTTTTCTATCCACCTTATAGTCCATTCATCCAGCCCATACTTCTTTAACTTGCCGGCAAGAATACTGTGGAAGACCGTATCAAAAGCTTTGCTAAAGTCAAGGAATAACATGTCCACCGCTTTCCCCTCATCCACATGATGGTCGATGGTGACTAAACTAAGGAGCCAGCCACCTTCAGTCTTCTCCTGCGATATACTCGATGGCTTTGATTTTTAAAATAGCTAAACCCATTACGTGTTCCAGAGACGGGCAGTTTTTTTGAAGGAGTCTTTACGCTGACTCTAAAGAGGGTGGTCTTCCCTGGCTGATCCTACTGCAGTGAACGCACACTGGATAGGGACTAAACATTGGGCTTGTTTCTATAGAGTAGTAAGTAACAAGAACCTAGTCCAGCCCAATGAGACTACTCATGTACTTTAAGGGCTGGTCTACACTGGGGGGGCAATGTAAGATACGCAACTTCAGCTACGGCAATAGTGTAGCTGAAGTCAACGTATCTTATTTCGACTTACCTCGGGTCCTCATGGCATGGGATCGACGGCCGCGGCTCCCCTGTCGACTCCACTACCGCCGCTTGCCCTGGTGGAGTTCCGGAGTCGACGGGAGCACGTTTGGGGATCGATATATCGTGTCTAGACGAGACACGATATATCGATCCCCGATAGATCGATTACTACCCGCCGATCCGGCGAGTAGGCTGGATGTACCCTAAGTTAAGCATGTGCTTAAATGCTTTATTGGATCAGGCCCTGTTGTTTAGCCCCTGGCAGATCAAGCTCTGACTTCTTTCTGGGGTTTTCTTTATTATTGTGGCTGTATGTAAGGTTGCACTCTTGTTTAGTTGCATAAACATGTTGTCTGTCTTTACTGAATTGATCTTGTTTCCCTTGATTGTTCTCTCTTTCTCTAGG